CCCCCCCCCCCCCCGCTTCAGAACACGCAGGAGAGAACTGGAGAATTTAATGGTTGAAGCAACAACTGCTCTGGAGTCTCTAATCCACGTTCTCTCCTCTTTAAAGGAGGTTGCTGAAGGGAGGAAGAGATTAGTGAGGATATTTTGATCCCCATCAGCTTCAGCTTGCGGGATAAACACGAAGAATTTCCCCATCATTGTCATGTTAATTGGTTCACAGCTTGATCCAAACCTCCCTAAAGTCGATGAAGGTTCCCATTCTTTCCAACTTGCTTGCATAAAATCGGCAGAAGTGGTTTTCTCGGCACAGGCACAGCAGTTCAGACCTCAGTCGTGGGGCATTAACAGCCTTCTCCCTCAGAAAGTAAAAGTTGTGTTAAGAATTGGGAAAAGCCTCGAAGAAGTGGTTTGTGTCTCTAGAAGGTGCAGCTCGGAGCTCTGGCAGTGATGAGGTGGTGGATGGGGTCATTAGAGAACCTTCTGAGCTCTGCCAGGCGGCCAGGTCTTCGTGCCCATTGCTGCCCACTCACCTGTCCCACTCTTCCCATGCTTACCTATGGGGATTTATGAGAGACAGCATCAATGCTGTGTCCCTTTATCATGGCACTCCATAAATGGAGACTTAACACTCACCAAGAAGGGCAGAAACTGCACCTACCTGGATTGTGGGCAGGAGACAGTGATATGTATACTGAGCCCCAAAGCTATTAGGAAATTAAGCTGTATTTTTGTTATAACTAGTGACTTCCTTTAGAAGTTCTCATAATTAGAGTATCATCCATCTTTGAGTGCTTTATTAGCACTGACAGTTACCTGGAGGCTCTAGACAGACTGAGCACCAGCATGTTGATATATTGCCCTGTCCTGTCACATCTCATCACTGGTTTCCCTACTCTGAAAGGCAAACTCTCTGCCCAAAGAGTCCCATCAGTCTGATGGGAGCACTGGGATACAAGCAATGGAAGATCAAGCTTTTACCCTTACTCTGAAGATTGGGGCTGTATAAAACTGTATTTTCTGTTTCAGCCTTTTCCACCAGTCCTGTACAAGGGGGCCTTTAGTCCATGCATTGCTGTGCTCCTTTCCAGAGCGTCCACAGATGCGGGGAGGGCTCAGTAGAGCACCTAGGGTCAACGTTTCTGTTGTTATCTGTGTCTTAGCAGAGCAGGTGAAATAAACGTATACGTAAGGACGATGCTGGTAGAAGGTTTACTATTTTCTTCTACAGAAGAGGGGGAATAAAGGCAGTATTTGAGGCTGGGAAGGGGACTGCTGCCCTCTTATGGCTACCGAGGCGCACAGCGGGGAAGGGGCTGAGAGGAGCCCCCTCCGAAGGTCTGAGAGGCTCAGAGAGAAGCCCAGCTGGCCCTCCCCGACCCAGGGCTGGATGGGGGGGATAGTCGCTCCTGATATACCTGGGGATTTCGAGTGTTTTGAACCATAGGTGGAGCAGACAAGCCTGCGTTTTGGTGTGCTGTTGTGCATCCACTCTGTGGGGCTGGTCTCCAAAAGGAGAACTTTGTGCTTTCTGAGATGTGCTGTGTGGGGCACTGTGTCTCAGTGGGTGTGAGGTGTGTGTATCATGGCAATGTCCCACTGCTGGTGTCTGCGGCGTGCATCTGTGGGCAGGAATGGGTTGTGGTGCAGGTGATGGGTCACCCTCCCACAAGTCAGTGACTGATATGCTAGTAATACCAAACCTGGTGACAGGGGTTTAATTGAGTGTAAATGCATCGTGTCAGTTGACACAAATTTTAGGAGTCCAAGGGGGCGATGTTTCCTCTAAAAGCAAAAATATGGAAGTGTTCTGTGTGTTATCAGTGAGCCCTGCTTCAGCACAGCTTGGCTGTAAACATCCCAAAGTGTTCTGCAGCAGCATTTTGCTGCCCGTAGCCCAATTCCCTGAGGAGCATCAGTGTAACTCATAGGAGTGTCTGTCAGCACACAGATCCCATCACCTAGAAAAAAGTGGGTTCTGAGCCTCTTTTGTTCAGGAACATCCAGAAGAAGGACGCTTAAATTCAGACCAGATGAAAGATTTGAATGCTTGCAGTGCATCTCTCCAAGCGGGTATTGCTCTGCTTGGGGTTCCCTGCAGCAGAGCTCCCCTGCAGATGCCATCTGCCCCACTTGGTGCTGGCTGCAGCTGGGACCCACACATGATGTGTGTGGGCACTCTCTCATGCTGTCCATTTTCATACAAAAATTCCTCAAGCTGCCTTTATACTCAAATAGATTTCATAAGTCTCATTTGCAGAGGAGACACCTGTAGAAAAAGCAGTGGTTGTGCATTTATCCCCATCCATGTGACCAGATCTGACATCCTGTGGGCATGCTGCCACCTCAGCCGGTGCTGGTTTGGAGCTCTGCTCCGTACAGCCAGAAGGGTGACACTGACTTTCAATTCTGACACTTCTGTAATAAAAGCCATTACCGTGCTGGTGGTTTGGCTCTCGATTTAGAATGGCGATGGTTAATTCTGGCGGTTTCCCCGTGCTTTTAAATAGCACGAGTCAGGTGGCTCTTTAGTAGAACTGCTCCTGGGGGACAGGAATTGGTTTTATGGGCTGTGCTGCGGCTAATAGCAGCACTGAACAGCACTGCTGTGCTCTGCTTCCTGCTGCTGAGGGCTCTGACCACGCTGTCACAAGGAGGTGCCAGCACCAGGCGTTACTCTGTGTGTTATCGACTCTTTTCTGTGGCTGCTAATTGTTCAGGTCATCGGTAATTTACTGCGTGTTCAGCATCTTGTGTGTTTTCCAAGGAAAAAGCTGCTGCTTTTTGGCAGCTCTGCAGCAGAACTTCTCCGTAGGGTGAAACTTTGAGTGAAGCATAGGGCTAGAAGAGATCTGGGGGAAGTAGGAAGCAGAGCTGCTGTGGCAATCACTTGCTATCAAACAACCCTGGCTGCAGGGCCAGGATTCGCCTCACTCTTTCCCTTGGCACTGCACCTCCACTGCTGGCAAGTGATGAATGGGTAAAGCTACTCTGTTTAGATAAGGTGGGAACTTGGTGCCGACAGTCCGTGCCCTTTGCTTCTTTACCTAAGGGTAACTGCCAAAATCTGCTCTTGTTAGGAGAAGGAATGTACTGAACAGCTCCATTCATTTCAATTCTGGCTGGCTGGCAGGACCCAGGCTCATTCCTTTTTTATACCCTAAAAGCAAAACACAAGGCTGGTTTGTGTTGCATTCTCTTTTTTCCTTCCTCTGTAGCAATGCAGTGTCAGCCCCTGCTCCATCTCCTCTTATGAAGCTTCTCTTCAGGAAATGGATACCTGAACCACCTGTCTCCTTGCAGACAGCAGCACTCCTTCCCACGCGCCAACACCCTGCGGGCAGCAGCTCTGCACAACAGGAGCCCCGAAGCGATGCCGAGCCGCTCCTTCGCCCAGCAGGAGCCGCCTCTGACACTGTTCTGTTCCACCGACTTCACTGCTCTCCAAGCAAGTGCCTGATGGCAGCGTAAGTGCGCTGCCTGATGGGTGCTGGCGTGGTGCAACACTGACAGATGCATGCTGAAACCGTGTGAAAAATTTTGCAGCCAAAGCAAAACTGGCAAATGTTTGACTTGCTGCCAGCTTAGCTCATGGGTGCAAAACATCTGATACTTGAACTGAAATGTTTACAGCAGGGAAAGTCGTTCTAGGCATGGTTCTTGTCAGAGAGAGCAGATAACGGCTCTCATGGCACTGAGCTATCCCATTCCACAGGTCCTACAAACCCTGTTCTATGTTTCTTTGCTCTGCCCTCATAATGCTTGGGTATAAATGCTTAAAACACTCCTTTTTGGCTGCTTTGAAAGAGCAAAGCTGTGAAAAGCATAATGCCTTAATCCTGAAGCTTTATTTTTTGTGACATAAATAGTGAGAGGTCACCTCTTGCATTGCATCTCCTCCTAGAGATGCTTTACTTCACCTGTGAGCATCTCTTGCATCATAGGACAGATGCCAAGCATGTGCAATAAAGCATTGTTCTTACAGCTGCAGAGGTAGGAGAGGAGGAGCAGAAGGTGCTGGCTGCTCTGCATGGTTTAGTACTGTCCTGCCCTTGGATCCCAGACTGCACGCATGATGGATGCGATGCCTTCAATCTTCCCATCGCCTGCACCCAAAGGGCAGCGATGCATTCACAGTAACACACACCCATGGCAGCCACAGCAGCCCTGCTCTGTGTTACAACAGGTCCAGGAGGTGGGAGTTTTGTGGGGCACTCAGGAAGGCAACCATATGGGGTATGAAGAAGTGAGCTGGCCCTGAGTCCTTTGTGCTATGGCTTTCCAAGCCTGGGCCATGGCTGTAGCAGCCTCTCAGGCATGTGGGGCTGGTGGCTCTTAGTGCCCCTTTCCTTTTAGGGGAGAGTTTCTGCTAATCCCTCTGGCTACAAGCAGTAGTTCATCCTGCAGGGAGGTGCTGGTGTTGAGTGCTTCTGCTCAGAAGTGCTCAGGCAGCATATTTCCAATGGGAGCTGATAGATGTTACCCAACGTCTTTCATCAGAAGAATAAAATCAATCTGCTTTGAAGAAGCAACAGGCTGTTTTGTTAATCGAGCTATGCACGTAACTTCAATCTGAACACAAAAGATCAGCTGGGATTGTCCATATTAAGCAGTCATTTTATTTTAGACCCTCTTTTTGGTGATGTCCTTAAAACAGAATGACGTCTTTTGATGCGTTTTCAATCGGCCTTTCCTGTTCTTTCTTCTTAGAATATCTTGCATGGTCATAGAAATAGATGATAATAATAGTAATGATGTTGAAAATGATGCTGAGCAGCAGGATCCAGTAGGAGTACTCATACCTGTGTTCAGATCCACTGTGTGTCAGTGACAGAGAAATACATTTGATGGCCAACTCCACAGACATGTCATTGCCTTCCACGTTCACGGGAAAAAGTATCATGACCAAAAGTGTGAGGATTCCTGCAAAGTAAAAGCATGACATTTAGAGGTGGGTCTGTAGTATTATGTTAGCAATACTTGTGCTGAGTAGCTCTGTAAGTCGCTACTTAATAATATTCTCTTTAAGTTAGTGTGGATGCCTGCAGAACAAATATGATCTGGTATTTTCTGTCGTTAAAACCTGAGGATGTCAGTACCCAGTGCTATTGGTAACTGCCTTCTGCTAAAATTAATGGATTCGTGCTGGCTATCCTTAGCTGAAGTCATTTAATGTTATTTTTTTCACTGAGTTTAGTGCTGATGCATAGAATATATTCACTCCTCAGGTGACTTGAGGTGGCCTACTTGATATGACCCCAAATTCATGGGATATGTGGTATAACAAGTGGATGAGACTCCGAGCAACCTGCTATGGGCTCAGAGTTGGCAGAGCTCTGTGAAGTAGCTTGGGCTTAGCATCCTGGGGTTCTTTTCTCCCCAGCCTTTTCAGTGACTGTGATGAGCCAAAATGAGATCTCTTACTGGATCTGTACCTATTTCCCACAGCCTCCTTAACGTACGTCGAGTTCTGCCACTTGGACATGTAACCAAATACTGCTTTTATTTCCTTGCTCTCACAGTGCTAGCAGAGATATAACAAATGGGCACTGGTGAAAGTATTCCCCCCCCTTCCCTCCAGGCACACCGTGTTACCAGTGCTCCTGCTGACATTGGGTCGGGATTTAGCAGGGAGGACATGGGGATTTCAGGCCATCTGGTACAAAGATTAAGAGCCTTCAAGATACACGTCAAACGATGCATGATTTTTTCATCCAAATATGCCTGTGGCAAAATCAGCTTCCAGGTCACAGCTCTTAGAGGGCTGTAAAAAGTAACTGCAATCCTCAGCCAACGTGTGGGTTACTTTCTCATTAACACTTAGTTTGGCAATCCCATAATTCTTCCATTTTTGGGTCAAGGCTTACAGACTGCAACTGCAGCAAGGTGTGTTAGGAGCCAGCTGCAAGGGGAGGGGGGCTGTGCCCCCGGGAGCCGTTTGGCAGAGTTCATGGCTCTGAGATTCAGCATCTCCACCATCTTTTTTCCTGTTTAGGGAAAGTTGAAGCATATTTTGATCTTCACAAGTGCTTTTTAAGACAATGAAATGAATTTTACTGAGACTCAGGCCTTCTGTCCATCTTCCCTTTGATGTTAGTGCTGTTTTAGATGTATTTGGTTCAACATATGTTTCAGAAACAAAGCTGTAGTCCATCCTATTGATGAGACCTTAGAGGACTATTTCACAGGTAACCCAGGAAATGTTATGCTATAAATAGCATGAAATAGTGGCACAGAATCTTTAAGGGGTTACAAATTGCTCTGCAGTCACATCCAGTATGGACACTTCTCAGTTCTGCTTTGATTCTGCACTCACCCAGAGGGTGGTGAGGCTCTGGAACAGGTTGCCCAAGGAGGCTGTGGATGCCCCATCCCTGCAGGCATTCAAGGCCAGGCTGGATGTGGCTCTGGGCAGCCCGGGCTGCTGGTTGGTGACCTGCACACAGCAGGGGGTTGGAACTGGATGAGCATTGTGGTCCTTTGTAACCCAGGCCATCCTATGATTTATGAGCGTATTCTATTCTCCTTGGTGTGTGTCATGCATGAAGTGATTCTGCACATGCTGGGGCTCTTCCACTTTGCTGCCAGAAAATCCAGCCTCCTACAGACTAATGCTGCTGCTCGATCAGTAGTTAAGCTAATTTTCAGATATCCCTAGCAGATACAGTTAAAAATAAAGCCAGCTGAACAGCTGGCACAGGTTTCTCAGAGAGGTGGTGGTGCCCTGACCTGCAGACACCTAAAGTCAGGCTGGATGGGGCTCTGAGGACCTGACGGAGCTGTGGGTGTCCCTGTTCAGTGCAGGGAGGTTGGACCAGATGGCCTTTAGAGATCCCTTCCAACGCAATCCTATGAACACGTTTTCAGTTGTTCCATTTTATAAATATTTCTTAATGAGAATATGGAGTTATCTGTATGATGGGCACAAAGTGTTCAACGTGGACACATTACTCACCACTGATGGCATTCCAGGTATAGACTCCGATGGGTCCCAGGAAGGTCTGGTAGGGGTTGCTCACAGTGTTGGTGCACGTAAAGCCAGAGCTCAGGAGGGAGCTCAGCAAGATGAGAACCAGAAGCACGATGATGGCCGTGTTGATGCCTTTTGTTCCACTGCTGCTCAGACCATCTGCAACTGGGAGACAGAAGGTGCCCAGAGTGTTTAAATGTGCCCAGAGGTCAAGGGTTACTGACACCTAGTTAATTGTAATTAAAAGCTAATAACCAGAGATTTGGTTGAGCTGTAGAGATGCAGCAGGAGCTGTACGTTTGGCTGCAGCATGTAAGCCCAAATCTGCAATGGGATGCCTTTCAGATTAGCCTGAAAAAAGTGCATGCCTACTAATCCAACTGGCACAGAAACCTGTGGGTTAGGTAGCAAGCTTCTCTTCCTTAATGTTTCCGAGAATGTTTCATCTCGACAAGGCCAGGCAGAAATTCCATGCTAAGCCTGCCAGGAAGCTCACTGCTCCTGCCCGTCGTCCCATCCCTGCTGGCTCTACAAACATTCTAAGTCTGGTGATTTAAAACTTGGTTTCCACTGCAGATTATTTCCTTTCAATGCACCAGCAATCCTCTCGTGTGGATAAATCTGACCAGGGAAACAGCCCCTAAAAGTCCAGCCAGCCAGATGTGTTTGTAGGACAAACATGCCCAAGTGCAGCCATGCACGGATGGATGAGACAGGGCTGGGTGTTGAGCTGGTGCTCATATCCTGTTACATCTCCCATCTACCTCTTGCCTCATCCCACAGGAAGAAGTAAGGCTGGGGAAAGTGTCTTCTGCCCTCTTTTGAAGGAAAGAAGCAGTTCCTGCTTTTTGTTATCAGGGAGCATGAGTGCATCTCAGGGCTCTCCAAACCCACAAGCAAGGAAGCTCACGGTTTGCACCTCTGCCCCATGCTCCAGCTTGCTGCAGTCCTCCTGTGCAGGTTGTTGCTGTTTCTGTAGCTGTGTGCATGGCTTGCCCAATGCACTTGGTACGTGCAGTCAGTCTCTTCAGGACTGTAATCAGTTTATTGTTTTACCTACATCCTTCCAGTTATTTGATACCTATGCAGATAACGCAGCATACTCAAAGTGCCATTGCAGCAGAGCTACACTGAAATATAGTATCCTCCTTTCAATTTAAAGCTTGAGAAGGCAACTGTAATGTGCCTGAGGCTGCCTGAACCTATAACAGATCTGACATCAGCGTTGTCATGCTCTGCTCAAAAAGGCGTTGTGATAGACGGCCATCTGCAGGGAAACTTCCCCTCTGTGCTGTTCTTCATGCAAAGCCCTTACTGCAGTGTTCAGCTAGCATAGTTTGGGGGAATCATAGCAGTAAAGAGAACAAAACCGTAATAAACAGCCATAAAAGGAAAATAAACATTCAGAGCAAAAAGAAGAGCTGCTGGAAATAAATTAAAAGGAGAGCTTTCATCTCATTTAATGTTTTATTTTTAGTAGAAGTTAATTTCGGTTTGAACAAATGGCAGGTAAGGATGCGTTATGGAAATGAGATGCAGATTTAAGCAATTCTGCTAGAAGAAAGGGAAAGACAGGCATGCAGGAGGCATTGCTCAAGGAAATGGAGGTGAGCACAGCAGAGCTATACTGGTGCGTGTGCTGAAGCAGCCTTAATGCTGCTGGCTGTTGCCTATCACAAGAAACACGCTTGAGCCTGAAGCAGACAGCTGTGCATGATTTCCCTCTGGCAGCCTCCCTTAATTTTATCCTTGGGAACATTCCCAGAGCTGACGGCTGCACCCCCTCATTGCACTCCTTTTGTCCTAATGGCAAGCCACCACTCAGGGGATGCACTTCTGCCAGACTCCACCTGTTGCAAGCATTCCTGCAGCAGCACAGAGCTGCAGAAGGTTTGAAATAAAATGCAACTTTCTTGACAGCAGACATTTGTCCAAACAAGACAGGCTGTGCAAACTAGAGGATTCTCCGGCAGCTGATCTGCTTGAATGTGACAGAAATACCCCCTGTGTCAGGGTAGAACAGCCTGAGTGCAGAACGAAAGCAGAGGGCTGTGCCTCCACCAAGTCTGTCATATTTCCCTGAACCTCCTTTTCCTCGTCTGTAACTCTCATACAGTCAGATTCAATTTCCCAAACTTTCCACTTGGCACAGGGTCCCACCGAGGATCTGGAAGCTGATCAGAACTATGCTGAATATGCAAGTGCCAGCAGTATTCAAGCATTTGTTCTGTATTTTAAAAGGTAGAAAACGAATCAATTCCTCTGTGCCACAGTCAACTTCTGAGACTTCCTGGAGTGCTGCGGATTGCTGGGCTCTGGGTGCGCCTCTGCACCTTGCTCACTGCTCTGTGGGTCTGACTTGGAAACCAGCACAGCTGTCACTGTTGCAAGAAAAGGTGGTTCCTTTCCGAGGTGAATCTTTAAAGCAGCTGATGGAGGCTCTAGGGATTGAAGTTGTTAGATAATATCTGTGTTTGGCCAGGTTCTGAGCATCCCCAGGGCCTCTGGAGCAGCCCTGATGTTTTGTTGCTTTGTTAAGCTTATCCATCTTGCACTGCGTGCTTGTAGAGCCTGTATTTTCTTTTTTTGTCTTTCACCTTTAGGCTCTGAATTTCTTTTTGATGGTACGGTATCCAAATGATAATATTGCCTTTGCAAAGGTTCAATGTCAAATGAGAGAAATCCTACCGTCTTGGGACTGACTACTTGCTATGTTCCTATAGGTAAAGGTTGCCCAAGGAGGCTGTGGATGCCCCATCCCTGCAGGCATTCAAGGCCAGGCTGGATGTGGCTCTGGGCAGCCTGGGCTGCTGGTTGGCGACCCTGAACATAGCAGGGGGTTGGAACTGGATGAGCATTGTGGTCCTTTGCAACCCAGGCCATTCTATGATTTCAATTTAAAATCAGTATGCATGCAGGTCTGTGAAGTATTTCTCCTGTTTTAAGAATGCCCAGAATCCTACTTAATACAAAGCGCGACAATCATGTCTAGTATAGGACCTAAGCATTAATTTTAAATGAGCTCATTTTCTCTTGGAGACATGCCTGATGTAGCTAGTGAGGGATGCAGGCATGTCCATATTTAGAGTACTCAGGAAGCATCTTCTCTGCAGCTGTTGGAAACAACAAGCAGCTCCTGAAGCTCAATTGATTTATCCATCTATAAATGGTGTGCATGTGAGAACTGCGATGACGCTTCCTAAATGATGAGCCCAAAAATTTAAATCTGAAGGAAGACAAACTCCAGTGATGCCTAAACTGTATGTGGATGTGCAAAGAACTGATGGGATGCTTGGCAGTACCCAGGCCCTGGGGTTTGGTTGAATTCATTGCTTTACAGGCAAAGGCAAAGCACGCCCCAAACTCCTGCCAGCCTGCATCCTCTGCTGGCCCTGCCCAGCTCCTCATGGGCAGAGTCCTGCTTTCATGCAGCACCCTACTCAAATCAGAAAGAACATACCTGGATGGAGCCAGGTGTAGTGCCTGAGCCACCTGGTGTGGGCAGGTGTAATCATATATAAGCTATTGTTGTAAATGCATATTTGTTTTTCTAAAACTGCTTTGGTTATTCTGATATGACAGCAGAAAACTAGTCTGAATGACTTGTGATTTAATAGCTGTTGGGCACTGACCTCAGTATATACACTGTTAGGAATGCTGCTGCGCTCAGCTTTTTCACTGCAACGTAATCATTGCAATGTGAACTGACATCCACAGTACAGCTCTGTCACATTGCTAATCTGGGTGCCTCAGGTGTAATTTTCATACTAAATTCAGGTGGGAAAGAGCTGGGAACCATCTGGCTGTTTAGATCAGCTGTGCTCTGCCTGTGGGGATTTGTCTGCTCCTGGTGGTGGGACATCTCACAGCCTACCAATAAAACCAGAAAGCCTTCAGGTTTCAAAGCTATTTGACCTGCTCTGCCAAAAGACAGCAGTGTTTCTTCTGACTGCCTTCTCTGCTCTTTCACATGTGCTCGTGTGAGCGTTGTGATTCAAAGCCAGAAAACGAGTGCAAATCCTTGTGCTTTGCAGCAGCGTCCACACTTAGCTAACTTAGGCTTTTATGAATATTTCTGTTAATGTCAGCACAGTCCTTGTGCATAGAGGTAGTTGTGCTGAACTGAGATCAGTATGCGGCCTGTGGTTGCATTTGGCATGCATCACTTCTTGTTGCTGTTTTGCTTTTTCTCATGCTTTCTTTCTCATACTAAAGTTTTTCACACTTCTGTAATACCTTTCTCCAAGGTCTTGTTAGGTGAGCCCTATTCTTTTTTCCCCTGTTTTTTTACCTTTATTTTTTCCCACGTAGCATCTCTTTTCCCTTGTCTCTCAATTCTTCTCTTTGTAACTATTCAACTATTTTTATTATTTTTCTCCTTCTGCTCTTAATTTTACCACTGAGGATAAATACTGACAACTGCAAATGCAGAGATAAATAAACAAATAAATAAAACTGGGCTACATAACAACAAAATATGAACAGCCTACAGCTTTTTGTGCTATTTAAGAACCTCAGTCCAAAATCTTGGAGACAAAGAGCCACCTGGAAAAGGTGTCGTCTCACCTGCGCCTTTGGTGAGGGCCTTATAAAAGATGACAAGCTATGTCATAATGCTTACTTCACAGATGAGTGGTTAAAAGAAATGAGCAAAGGTAGGTTTTGAAACACAACATGCTTCAGTTTAATAGCATCACTTAGAAATGGGATGGAGTTCTCTTGAAAGGAGAAATAAAACAAGTATTTTCCTTTAAGTGCAGGACTGCCAGATACATAAACACCATCTCTGTCTAAATTATCTTTACGTGTTTTGCTCTTCTCCCTTCAGCGATTTCAGAACCTTTCTCTGTACAAATGATGCTAATTTGATCATAGGCAGGCAAAACGTTTTAAATCAAACGATTAATTTAACATGATGAAATTTAAAGGAAGCCAAATTAGTTTTGTACGCCTTTAATGAAATGCTAATAGAGTGTTGCATTCCTGTTTGTTGCTGAAAGCTTCTGAAAATTAAAATCTGTTTGACACAAATTCGGATCCTGTATTGTTTCCTCCTTTGGAGGCATTGGCTAAGGCCACACATCATCAGAAGTTGCCATTGGTAGCAGCACTTCAGCATCTGACTGCCTTTCTTGGGTTTTATTTTATACCACTTCAAATCCTTGAGACAGTTTGTAGATATTTTCATGGATAATTTCATTAAGGTTGGAAAAGGCCTCTAAGACCCCCACATCCAATCCCACCCCGCCTGCACCATGCACACAAACCATGTCCCTGAATGGAACCACAGGGGGGTTATTCGGGTTGGAAAGACCTCTCAGATCCCACAAGCCAACCCAGCCCACTCTCCCCATGCCCACATCCCTCAATGCCACATCCCTGTGGTTCTGGAGCCCCCTGCAGGGACAAGGGCCCCCCACTCCCTGGACAGCTGTACCAGTGCATCATCAGTCTTTCGGAGGAGTTTTTCCTAATACCCAACCTAAGCTTCTCCTGAGGTTCTCACTGAAGGTCTTACAGCTGTAGATGAAGGAAGAAGGGCTGTTCCTGCACCCCTGTTGCCACCCAGGCTGGCACCCACTGCCGTGCACTATTCCTTACCTTGGAAATTGCTAGCTGAGATCTGCAGCCCGGAGTTGATGACCTGAGCACAGGTCACTTGAAAGAGCCCATACGTGAGGCTGACAGTAGTGGTAGAGTTCCCTCCAGAGAATCTGACCTCGCTGTTCATCCACGCCTGTGTTCCCAGAACGGCACAAATGATGACAAAAGATGCAATGCTGGTGAAAAAAGCACCTCCATACATCAGCGTTTTCTGTCTGGTTGGCATTTTGGCTGGCAGATTTTCCACAGGTTCAGATTTCCTTCCCTTCGGCCCTGTTGGGCATACGGTTGTTCCTCCTTTTGCTCCCTGGAACCTGCTCTGAAAGTTATCCTGGTAAACTTTAAGCAGGCAGCAGAAGTCATAAAAATGTAAAATAACTGAACTTTGGTCTGGAGAAGAGGCGTTACCATGGCTGTACCCAAACACCCCTGACGTGGAGGGGAGGGAGCTGTTGCTGCCGGGAAGTGACTCAGTGTCCAAAGAGGGGATTCCCACAGCTCCCTCCCCCCCCCGAGCAATTCTGGAGCCCAAACGGAACTCCCTGACCACATTTCCTGGATTTCTCTTCTCCCAGGTATTTAGTGATAGGTCATGGCCTCGAATGGCACCACGGGAGGTTCAGCTTGGGCATCAGGAAAAAATTGTTCTTGCACCGGCAGAGGCTGCCCAGGGAATGGTGGGATCAGCATCCTGGAGGTGTTCCAGAACCACGGGCATGTGGCACTGTGATGGTCTGGGGTTGGATTTGAGGATCTGAAAGGTATTTTCCAACTGCCATGGTCCTGTGATTGTATTCCTGTGTTTTCTTCTGGAAGGTCGGTACTTAGTCTGGAAACAATTTTTGCTAGCTCCACACCCAGATCCCTTTGGAAGCAAGCGATAGATTCTGATTTCTGACAGTGAAGATGGGTGAGTGTTCCTTTGCTCTGCTGACTCCCTGCTTCCTTAACAGCTGCACTCCACTTTTGGGACCTCTTACATTCTTGATGCTCCCTGTGACAGGACTGGGCTGCTCTGGGCCATTTCAGGGTGAAGGATTTTCTGTGTCATATCGAAAAATCATTTTTTTCCTAAGGAAAAGCTGTACATCTTTATTAAACTCCATATGTTTTCATACAATACCTATTCCCTCTTCCTCGTTTGTTGTTGTTGTTGTTGTTTCTTTGCTTGTTTGGGCTCTGTTAAGTTCCAGTCAATTTCTCTAAGCATCACTTGCTTTAGATGTGTAATGATCTTTGATTGCACTTTACCAATGGGGCTTTCAGCCTTCAGCTCTTGTTCAGCTCAGACATGAAATATGCATTATTTGCTGGTTGCCTAACTGCTCTACAGGGAGGAAACAAACACCTTAAAGAGGGATTCATTTCAGTGGGCTGGTGAATGTGTAAAGGAGGCAATACAGAAGGAAATCTGCCCTGGGCGATTCAGCAGGAGGAACATTACAGTGGAAGTCAAGTTTGAAATCAATGCATTTTATTTCTGAGATGTACTGCTGGTCTTTTGTGTGATACGGTCTCATGTATATTTTTATTTTATATGGGATTTAAAGGATACTTTTGATGTCATTGCTTTTATGAACGTATACATTTTGTTTATGTACCTTGCATATACTTCATAGACAGTCAAACTTTGAGTGCATGCATGCTTTAAGCACTGGAGACCCAAGGGAAGATTTCAGCCCTTCTAAACAAATGAGGAACAGGAGACCTGCCTTCCATTTTCCTCCCAGACCTTCAGTTAAATTTTAACCACAGAAGGACGGATAAACTTCCTTATGATCACCACTCTGGGTCTGTCTGTCCATTTTCTCCACCCTTTGGTCCGTGCTGCTGGGGAGGAGTGAGTGATCCTTTCCCAGAGAGCTTCTCCCTTTACTGGGTGAAGCACAGGCAGTAGAAAGTTTCTGCCCTGGTTCAGCTGTGCTGCTTGACCCACTATGAAATACATTTAAAAGATATATATTGAAATATTAATATTTGTCCTGGTATTGAAGTTGAGGGAGCGCTTTTTCAGCAGCTGCTCAGCGGACCTCCTTTGGCAGACTTGAGAGAACCCAATATAGGCAAGCTGAGCAAGAGAGCTGCAAGGCATAACGTGTAGTTCCTTTCTAAAAGATCTTATTCAATTGTTCTCAGTTTTCAGGGACTCAGCTCAAATTTTTGTGGCTCAAATTGTTGAAACTCTCCTGCAGCCAGGGGAATCACCCTGTAAATGAGCCCATAATTTGCCCTTTTCTTCCTTGTTACCTTGAAGTTAATCCATCCTCTGTTGCTGGTAGGATTGCTTGTGTCTTTTCTTCCCATAGCTACATAAAAAAACATTGTATCTCCTGTATTTTGAGAAGCATTTATGCATTTCATAACCTTTCCAGAGCAAAACCATCACTTTGCAATGCCATGCTCCTGCTAAATCCTAAAGATTAAACTATAGCTCTACGTGGGGAGGTTTCCTCCTACAATGGCAGCATTTCCATGCCTTGCTCCAGATCAGGAACTCTCATGGAAATTCGGTCTGACATGGCACACCTCATTGCTTCAGGGAAAAGAGAAGAGATGGGCTTCATCCAGCTGTGATAAAATGTGTCTCTATCAGTAATTTAGCAGCTCTGCTCCAGCTAGTGATGCTGCAGTCCTTACATAGCAGTCAAAAAAAAAATAAATCAGAGTAACTCACAGGGACCCAGACAGCAGAGAGATGTGGAATAAAATTACACACAGCCTTGTATTTTTAAAGGAGGAATATGTATTTATCTCATATTAATGCGCAAGTTTGCTTCAGGCAACTAGGTCTGCTGTAAAACAAACATATGTATATATATACAGGTATATATAATGAAAGTTTTATTTGTGAACGGAATGTTCCAGCCTGCTGCTGATTCAGACAGGCCATATCCTGTGCCCCTGCTGATCACTGAATGGCCTCACAGCTGGTCCAAAGGCATTTTCCTATGGTGGGTTATGACATTTCACATGGATTTCTCTTCCTGTGTTGCACACATGGTCTGAAATGAGGACCCAGCCATGCAGACACAGTGCAGCAGCTTGCAGGCCATGTGCTCACCTATACCCTGCAGCCAGAAAAAATTCAAGGTGAGCCACTGCAGGTCATCTGTTCTGCTGCAAACGCAGCATTTAACAGCGTTTAGTGGCAGTTCACAAAATCCCACATTTAGTTTAAATCTTTCACTTAGAAAAATGTCAGGAGATAAGTTAACATAGCATCGTGGTTGGCCCGTATGTGCTGTATTCCTGGGAGCCCACTGTTTCAGTGCACCCTCGCAGATCTCACATACCCTTTACATCCTTTTTATTTTCCATTTTCCATGTCTAGTCGCAGAGGAGAGCTAAGAAGGCAAAGTCCTTGAGCTGCTCTTGGCTCCAAAAGGGGGTCAATAATCATCCACGTGTGCACAGCACTGCAGGAGGAGGCTGTGCATTACTAATTATCTCTACCTCTTCTAAGCTGGATAAAAGGTAATTGAAATAACTTGCTGGAAGTGTAATAGAGAATACTATGAATGAGATTGATTGATTTTTCTTTTTCTTCTTTTTTTTTTTTTCTGGTAGCTTTGCAGCCAGCGTTCTGAGTGGTGATGGAAATAGGAATCTGCTGATGCCTTTTGGGCTGGCTGAGGGAAATCAGGTAAAGCATCATGAATTTTATTGTAGCTGGAGATGGAAATCGGAAGCTCAGCTGAACTGCTGAATTATTGCAACAGCTGTTTGGGAAACTTGGATGAGATCACAACATTTTGTGTATCTGCTCCCAGCGCTGCTGTGCGGTGGATTTGTACTCCTGCATCTTCTGACTTTGTTCTCCTATTGCTCTGATCCTTTTTACAGCACTGCTGCAGGAAAAAAAACCAAATACGTTTCAAATGCTGATTGGATTTCCTCACAGAAATGACTAAATCTCCTCAATGGACAGGTATTGACTTCTCTCTCTGGATATCAGAAAGTGCTGCTCCCAACCCTGCGAGCAGCAGCCATGCTGGGAGCAGCCACCAGGAGCAGTGACTGTTGGCTTCCGCCTGGACAGAGAAAAAGGAGGGATCGTAAATCATAGAATGGCTTGGGTTGGAAGGGACCTCAAGGATCATGAAGCTCCAACCCCCCTATGCATGCAGGGCTGCCAACCTCCATATCTAACACTAGACCAGGCTGCTCTGGGCCCCATCCAACCTGGCCTTGAACACCTCCAGGGATGGAGCATCCACAGCCTCTCTGGGCAGCTGCTCCAGCACCTCACCACTCTCATATATAAAAGAAGGAAGGAAGATCCCAAAGCCACCATGTTGGTATCAACACAAATGCGATGGGAAAAATCCTCTTTTAAAATGTTCACCTGCTGTAAAAGAGCATCCTTCAGTTTCACCATCTGAGCGAGCTGTCTGCTGTCTCCTCGGACATCCTCAGGCACAAGTTGTGCTGCTCCCAAATATCACTGCAATGTATTTGCTACCCAGACACACAAACGCCTCATGGCTGAACTCATTTTATCTCAGTAGAGAAGAAGTGATGTTCAGCAGTATTCCCACTTGCTGTACCCACATGGGACTTGCCAGGTGCTCAGGCCCAGGGCTGGGTTTGCTTCTTGAAACCCTTAGAAAAAAAATAGTGCTGTCCATTGCAGTAAAGTAAGAAGTTAAAAAAACAAACAAACAAAACTTGGAAAACATACAGATGTTTTTTTCATTTTTCTTTAACCCTGAGGGTTAAAAGGTATAATTGCCCTAGAAGATGACAGTTACAAAACTTTAAAACAACATCTTCAGACATCAAGTAGCTGCTACCATTCATGACTGAACACTTCAAGCTGGATGGTCAGATAGAGCTTGTTGAAGAGCAGGGAAAAAGCTTTCTGGTCTTGTGTGAAGCAGTCACTGCTTTTCAATTTATTATTATTATTTTTTTCTATTTAATGAAATGTGACTTAGAGCTTCTTCAAAGCATGTAATGTTTAGAACAAATCCTGGAGGTGGAGATGGAGGGAAGAGCTGGCAGAGCAGGCTTTCATTTACTGCAATTTCTGTAACAGTTATAAAGACAAGTCATCTCGAATACTTAAAGACATCCCCAGAAACCTTTAAATTTAGATTCCAAATGTAAGAATCTGAGACAAATGTCTTTGAAGTCATTAAATTAGCTGCTGCTGTAATGTTACGTATTGTCATGCCTTCGTCCAATGACTCTCACTTTAAAGACTTTATTGTGTTTTTAACCTGAGATAAATTTCCTGTTATAAAAATGATGCCTATATCTGTTATTTGATGTTCTGCCTCTGATTTTGTAATTTCTCCAGCACGTTTACAATGTGAGTTCCAGGGGATTGGCGAAGACCCAGATGTACTGTGCTGCTCCCAAGTGTACCATGGCCAGTTAGTTATCAATAGATGTCTTCCTCACTGCAGTGAGGCTCACTATAGAAGGAATCACAGGAAGAATCACAGAATGGCCTGGGTTGAAAAGGACCACAATGCTCATCCAGCTCCAACCCCTGCTGTGTGCAGGTCACCAACCAGCAGCCCAGGCTGCCCAGAGCCACATCCAGCCTGGCCTTGAATGCCTGCAGGAATGGGGCATCCACAGCCTCCTTGGGCAACCTGTGCCAGTGCCTCACCATCCTCTGGGGGAAAAACTTCCTCCTAAGATCCAACCTAAACCTCCCCTGTCTCAGTTTAAAACCATTCCCCCTTGTCCTATCACCATCTACCCTCACAAACAGCTGTTCCCCCTCCTGTTTATCCGCTCCCTTCAAGTACTGGAAGGCCACAGTGAGGTCTCCCAGGAGTCTTCTCCAAGCTCAACAAGCCCAGTTCCTTCAACCTTTCTTCATCAGAGAGGTGTTCCAGCCCTCTGATCGTCAATCATCATGCTGGGATATTTGAAATAAACATTTGATGTTAAAATATCACCTGCTTCCCATCAGGTTTCTCTCTCTTGGACCAAGGAGGTCGCTTTGCACCAGGCAGTAGCAAAGTGGCTGTAATTGTTGGTGAGCAGCGGGTGCTGGGTCCTGCCAGAAGGCTGCCAGAGGTCTCACAGCGCACTGGGAGGAAGGAGGAACTGACTGCCAAAGAGCTGACAGTGCTGAGGACGTGGTTGATTTGTGATGAAGAGAGAGGAAAAGACAGGGGAGCAGCGGGCTGTAAGACGGACAAAGAACAGTCACTGCTGGAGCCTCGTTGGGATGAACACACAGTCACTGCTGCTTATTCCCTTTGTTTTGCTGCAGCATTTCAAATTTCTTGCATTTATTTTATGTTAAAGCAGTGGAGCCCTGTCAGTACAGCCTTGCTTTTGATCCTTTTCATCATCATTCATCACCCACCAGCCCAGGCTGCCCAGAGCCACATCCAGCCTGGCCTTGAATGCCTGCAGGGATGGGGCATCCACAGCCTCCTTGGGCAACCTGTGCCAGTGCCTCACCACTCTTTGGGGGAAAAACTTCCTCCTAAGATCCAACCTAAACCTTCCCTGTCTCAGTTGAAAACCATCCCCCCTTGTCCTATCGAAGGACAGCAACTGAAGATAAAATCAGCCTCTCTTGTTCCCAGGTAATGCATTAATAACTGTAACATGTATTATCTTTGTTTCTTTTTTGTACAACTCGAGTTTCACATTTCTTCCTCACCACTAATTAATTTCTGGTCCACAATAAAACAGCATTTCTAATTTCTGCACTATCAGAAAACACGATTGTACCCAGCACGTGTCATAATCCCATCTATTTGAGTGCCTGGATAAAAGCAGTCGTTCAAAGTAATACACAATTTCTTGCAAACATTTACTCGCGAGGAAATTGCTGACTTGCACCACTCCATCTACCAAAGGGTTCATTAAGACCAGTGCCTTCCTGGTGCTGTGCAAATGGGCCTGCTGAAAGGTCTTAGTGCCATAAATCGCTGCTTCCCAGTCATCGTGGTGCCAAAGGGACGTTGTTATGAGACCATTAAGCAGACACGGATATTCACAGATGCACCAGTATTTTGTTCTGATGGTATTCTACAATCCCCAGTAGTCTGATATCCTTCAGTACAACTGAAATAAAGGCGGTGCACGTAGATGGGGTGTTTGAAAGTTCATGGAATCACACGATGTCTGAGCTGGAAGGGACATCTAAAGGCCACGTGGTCCCACTCCCTGCAGTGCAGAGGGACACCCACACCTCCACCAGTGCTCAGAGCCCATCCCCTGCCCTTTGTGCCTGCAGGGATGGGGACCACCACCTCTCCGGGCAGCTCATGCAGTGCCTCATAGCTGTGTGTGTTTAAGGCACTCCTGGGGGAGAGATTTCTTTTTTCTCTGTACCTCAGACTAAGCGTTTGTGGGACTGAAGACAAAGGAGGGCAAGGCGTGAAGTTGGGCTTGTTGATCCTCTCCCTCCCCGCGGTAATCCCTTCCTCCCTGTCCTACTTTCCAGCTTGATGTTTCTATTCTGGGTTCCTCTGCCCTGCCTTGCTGCTCATGGTGGGTAGCACTGTAACGAGGCTGTCTGTGGGTCTTGAGTTTGGAGCCCAGAGGGTGTCGGGGTCCCTCCAGGTGGGGAATTAAGAGGGAAACAAAGAGGGAAACAAAGGAAGCCCTCGTGTATACACGTGATGGAATCAACGCAGCTTAATTAGGGCTAGAAGGGTCCTGCGTGCCCAGCCAAGGGGAAGGGACAGCCTCAAAGCTCAGGGGCTCAGGACCGGGCTGGAGCTGGGTCGTAGGCACTCCCAGGGATGAACGCCCACACTGATGGAGGCACTCCGTGCGGATGTCGGAGCTCTCAGAGCTGAATCCCCTCCTCTCCCAGCAGAAAGCGGCTCCACGCGCCCCTCCGCCGCCACGCGCGCCGGCCGTCAGCGCCCTCCCTCAGGTGAGCGGCGCGGAGCCGCCGATGCGGGAGGCGTCCGCCAGGCGGCTCCGCTGAGGGGAGGCGGCGGCGGAGCGAAATTTCCTGCCTGGCCGCCGCCTCTGCCCAGCGCCGGAGACCGTCAGGGCGTCCCGCGGTCCGGCGCCCGGGGCCCGGCAGCCGCCAGCGGAGGGCCGCGGCGGCGGCAGCGGCGGGAGGGCTGAGAGGCGACGGGAGCTTCGGCGGTGAGCGGGCTGCGTCCGTGGGGGCAGGTGGGAGCCGTGGGGCGGGGCTCCCATAGCGGCCGTGCGGGGCTCCGGCGGCGCGGCGGTCGCGGTTGGGATGCGGCTGCGGGGCCGTGCGGAAGCGGTGAGTGCCGCTCTGAGCGCCGCGCTCCGTCCGTGCCGGTACCGATAGCGGCCCTCCCGCTGCCCGGCGGTTCTGAGCCGCCTCGAACTTCGTGTTTTACGTGGGCCGATGTGGGGGTTAAGGGGGGGGGGGGGGGAATGACACAAGGCTTCGGTGGAAACGTGCTTGTCTTTTGCATCCCAATCCAAGCCCTCGGTGGTAACCCCCCGCCCCGCTTGTGGTTTTGTTTAAGACGGGGAAAAAAAATAATGCCGGAGCTCAGCAATAACGCGTGGACAACTTCTGACCGTCTGCGGTGAGATGTGCTGCGCTGCTTCAGAAAGGGCTGGTGGGGAGCAGATGGCTCCGAGTCTCCTCTCCTCTCCTCTCCTCTCCTCTCCTCTCCTCTCCTCTCCTCTCCTCTCCTCTCCTCTCCTCTCCCCTCCCCGTGTGACAGCGGTTGGTAATGGGGTGATGCCAAAAGCGATGGCCTGGCTAGGTCCTGAGGTGCTGCCGGCACTGCAGGAAGCAGAGATAAGGGCTGAGGATTGAGAAATGCTCTGTAGTGGGAAATGCTGCTATTTGCATGGGCACGATGTGCTTGAAGGACCCCTAAACGTGAATGCGGAGGTGAAGTTGGATGGAAATGAGTGATGTTCGGCTGGAAGCTCACGGTGTCATCTTGGATAGATCTCCATGTGCGTCACTGGGAGCTCCCTAGTATGGTTTGTACGGTGGTCTTGGGGTCACTGTTCCTGCTGGGGCTGATCTGGGGCTCCTTGTGCTGGGGGCCACGGCTGTGCCACCTGATTCCTTCAGTTTGCTTTGTCTTTGCCTGCAAATAGAGGAACGGCGCAGGTGCTGCGTTGTGTTGCACCGGCCATCTGTGCTGGCTGCGCTTTGGGTAACAGATGCTGTATCAGTAA